ATTTTGCTCATAGATGAAGCTTAGATACTCTTCAAATTTCTGTTTTTAAATTGTGGAAACTGTGTAACTATTTATATCATTTTGTACAATAAAAATGTGGAGATATCGAACAGTATACAAGATCAAAAGTTCATAAAACAATATAAAATAGGAGCAGGGCAAACACGGACCTCCAGAACGACAGAGGTGGGATCAGGTGCCATGGAGGGGTAAGCATTCTCTGCCGACCGACCACACCTGCCGTGTGCTCCTTGTCATGATCGGGAAAAAATGAAAAATTCGTCGTCAATTTAGTGCATAAATAATGGACTAATTATAAGTATGAAAAACGCCAGTCAGCATTTACCACAATAATAAATTTTATTTGCTGACAGGTCATTGTATCTACCATAGAACTTACGAAATGATGACATTGAACGAGACTGCTGATATTCTTGTTTCATCAACTTTGTTTTCAATAATTTACCTCGTTTAAGAAATTGTTTATACGTAGAGCATGCTCTTATGTATTGAATCAACTGAGACAACTCCGTATGCAGGCGATGAAGGTATATTGCTGCATGATTAAGGTAAGTTGACTATAGAAAAGATATAGTCATCACGTTAATCATTGAGCTTGGTTGTTAGGTTACCATTAACGTTTTTTTCAAGTTAAAATATCCAAAGTTGAAACAGATGCATCAGACTGTGGTATCTTTCATCTCAAGCTCACCAGGATATATTGTATCGACATAAGAATGGAAATTACAGTTGTTAATTGACAGTACGTCAATATATCTAAATGTCGATTTGAAGGCCACACAAGTGTTTTCTTTAAGTTTTTAAGCGGTTGATTTTGGTAAAATCTTGTGATTTCAAGTGCTCCAAAAGTTCCTTGGAATTTTTAAGTATCCACATCTGGTTTACACCACTTCTCTAATATATTGTTGCACAATACTCTTGAAGTTTCTCCTTCACTACTGTTCGTATTTTAGTGAGGAGTAAAGAAAGAGGCTTGGTTGAGCATTTACTGGAACCCGATATGTATCGTGTTTGTAAGGATTCATTTGAAGTTTCGATATCCAGTATACATAATATGGTATTTAAAAATCATTTTGGTTCTTTGGGATATTAGAAATATTCAAAACTGACAAATGATTTTGAAGAAATTCTTCTAAAGAAAGGGAACTATGAGTATAAGTTGGATTATCCTTTGTAGAATTAAATCCAAATTCTTCTAAAATACATACTCTTATATAATGAGCCTTACAAACAAAGACAATGTTTTTACCTGCTTTGTCAGCAGAGACCAGTACGTACGGATCATGTAATCTATACTTTTCTTTTCTTGTTACTTCTCTTGGCTTGTTTTTGGTAATTCTCGTTTGTGTAATGTACATATGAAGGGATACTTCCTTAATGAAAGGTTAGTCGTAATTTGCAAAAGTCAAAGATATTTACTAGACCTCGGATGTATGATCTCATTTAATATTCATACATGAATCTAGAACAAAATACATGTGCTCTAAAAAAATTGCGAGGAGTATACACTCAAAATTGATCAGTATATTTCCTGCATTTATGCCATATAAAGGTATGAATGAATAAAAAAAACTGATTTTTACCTACTAGAAAACCACTATAAATTGAACTTTAGGCTTCTTTTATTTCTCATATTTCTCAAAAATAAACTATCATATACTTTAAAGATGGTAAAGATTTGTTTGTTTCGGCAACCAAGACCTTTGCCCTAAACTTGCCCTAAATTAGGTTTAGAACCACTTCACTTACTTTGTTAATCAGTGTAATGTCTTTCCGAATGTAAAATAAACACTCGACACTTCTCCATTGACCTCGAAATATTGCTAAGAGTTTTATGGTCCAAAATATCTCTTTCGGACGGACTTTCATCTATTTATAAACTTAGCCATATGTTCTTGAAAAGGGTCCAGTACTGTTGTCTATATGCCTTACTTGCAGTTGGGTCGTGTAAAACTTTCAAACTGCATGAGGTTGTAAAGTGTTATTTGAAAATATGAAAATATTGCTTTAAATTGATATGAGAAACAAAATCTATTTTGGTTAAAAAATAAATGAAATGTGGTGATAATGAACAGTACTGAGTATTCATTCTCAGTATTACCTTTAACAATAACAGGTCCAGAGAAGAGCAAACATGGTTCTTAAAAACACGTACCACGTGGGATCTGGTGCCATGGAGGAATGCATTCCATGCCGAATGGTAACACTCGCAGTGTGCTCCTTGTCATGATCGAAAAAAACAAACAAAAAAAAAAACAGGAAAATATTATAACAAATGGATGTAGTTTACACATTAGTACAACTGATTTGACCTAATGCATAAACAGATATAGAAATGAGCTGATGATTTGATTAGAAATATGTGTAGAGAGAATGAAATAGATGAAAATTAGGAAAAGTGTTCGCTCTATAAACTACGAAAAATTACAATCATAAATGTGACAAAGTAGATAACGAATAGTAATCACGGTCAAACGCCCAGCAATGGAACAGCACAATCAGGGGCAGAGCGGAGCTGGAAACCGTTAGAGGTGGGATCGTGTTCCATATAGGAGTAAGTACCCCCTGCAACCCGGTCACACCCGGTGTGTGGTTTTTTTTTCTCACGATCAAGCAAACGGGAAAATCCGTAGTCAGTAACTTGAACAATTTACATAAAAACACGTATGAGGGTAAAAAAATATTTTTTATTTGTTTTATATAATGATTATTTAAAAGTATTAGAGGTCAAACAAAAATGAAACATGCTACAGAATTTAAAATTTATCCATTGCACGTTGGTTGAGTACCATTGTAAAATCGCCATATAGATTCGGAATAACTTAACATACAATTTCAAATAAAGCTATTCTAAGAACAAAAAAATATTTACGGAAGTTATAAAGAAATGTGCTCATTTCTTCAATAAATGTATTAATTTAATTTTTTTTTTTAAACTATTTTGGACTACATCAACCTTGTTAATACAAAGAACAGACGGTTTGTGTGACTAGCCGTTCACATGAGAATTTTACCCCTCCTAGGCACCTGATCCTTCCTCTGGAAATTCAAGGGCCTGTGTTTTATGTTCTGTTCAAAGCTTTCACTGTATTGTTCGAAGATTTATTTTCAGACTGATCACTGTTTTTTTTAACACATTTCCTTTTTCACCCAAAAAACAAATACAACATCAGTTTTACAGAAAACGAAGATAATGAAGAAATGAAAAGACAGCATATATTTGAATTCAGTAATCAAAATTCTAAAAGTTAGGATCATTAATTTAGGACAGAAATAAATCAACCAAAAGGCAACAAAAATGTCGATTTTTTTCAGTCAAAGATAAAACTTTAAAAGCATACTAATGCAATAAAATGCATAATTGTTATTGAAGGATATGGAGATAACGAACAGTGACTGACGACAAAAATGCAAATATGAAGGATAATAAAAGTATGTTCCTGTATCTACCTCACTCTTACATTATCTATAATTACAAACAAAGTTCACTAGCAAAAGTAAGTTAAGAAGTTTATCCACTTAAAGTTTATCCTTTTAAAACGTTGAAATTAACTTTGTGGTTTCAAGAAACATGCATAGTAAGGTAAAGGTATAAAACTTCAGAATTGCAAAACTCATTTAAAGTCTATTTGGAAGCTTTATTGAGAACCCAAATAGTTAAATTCTTGTTTTTAGAACGTGTGCTTCAAGACATGTACTTCTTATGTTAAGGTGAGAAAAGGGAGAAAATAAAGATTCTAAAATATAGAGAACAAAATACATCGAGATGTTACTAGCTAAGGAAAGCTAACTCTTATTACACATTAGGAATATCGTAGCCTACTTTTCATATCGTGAAGATTTTTCTCTCCTTTTTCCCAATTGAAGGAGGTTTTATCTTTATATGTATAAGATGTTATCATTAAACGAGGTTTTGAATTTAAACTCATTTTACTCTCATTGTTGTGATAAATGGCTATACTAAAATATTTATTTAAAAAACATTGAGGCATGATCATTCTTAAATAAAAGGCGGTTTCGAGATTGATCGGTGCCGTAGTTGTCTTTGACTGCTTCTTTAAAATTTATTTTAAGTTGGCGTTAATCATTCATGAATGAAATAACTATAAATTGTGTATTTATTAGTAAAATAATAAAGGTAGAGAAAACGAAAAAATTCAAATGGAATACAAATCTTTGAAATGGATATACTACACTTATACAAATCTTAAAACAGGACAAAACACTTAAAAAATCAAGAGATGGAACCAGGTACCCAGTGGGAATGTATGGATCAATTGAGGATTTAAAAAGTATAGAACATAGAAAATAGAGAACAATTCTTAAGTTTTACATCCTTAGTCATAAAAATGAAAAGATACTTGTATGGAGATAACGAGTGTAGTAATCAGGCTCAAAAGCCCATTCAAGCAATACAAGTTAGGAGCAGAACAAACACAGGCCTCTAAAATATCAGAGGTGGGATTAGGTGCCACCGAAGAAACTCGCCGTGCTCTCATTGTCAGGATCGGAAAATAACGGGAAATTCGTTGAAACAGAGTGCAACTAATGAACTAACAATTAGTATATCAAGATCAGTCAGCATTGAATTACTGATAGTCTGTATTTGCTAAGAAGGTCATTGTTTCGACCATAGAACTTGACGAATTTAAAGGAGACTGTTGATGTTCCTGTTCCATCAACTTGTTCGTCATTAACTTATCTCGTTTAAGATTTTTTTACACAAAGAGTATGCACTTGCATTTGAATCTCGAATCAAGTGAGAGATACAAACTCCCTGTTCAGGTGATGAGGTATTTTAATATTGATGCAGAAGTAACGGAAGTTAACGATTGAAAAGTTTAATTCACCACGTTTATCATAATTTTTTTTGTCGTGATTCTCTTTTGTTGAATTTCTTTGAAGCAAAAACATTATCAAAAAATTAATCAAGGCATATAAAGTACATAAAGTATTCGTATAAGTACAAAATGTACATAATTTATTACAAAACACAAACACGTTTTTACGTAATAATGAAACCAACATTTACACACTAATTACCTTGCACTCAGCGATATAATTTCAACAATCTCTAACAAAATGATACATATTTATGATATTGCACAATAAGTCATGTTGTATACAAGGAACACGTGCTCATCAGATACAGAGAGTGGTTTATGCCTTCTGTATCCGCTGGGATGGTGAGATTTCGTGAAATAATGAGTGATTATTCATCGTCCACCTGTCGTGAGAACTTGATGGTCATATCGTCCCCTCCTCTGTTGTAGAACTTAACATACAAGAACAGAACTAAGGCAGTTAAGAGGACCCCAACTATTATCATCACTATGGCCACACCCGCAGCGCCACCTAGAAGAACAGTTATACACCATGTATTATCCTCTTAAAATCTATTTTAGTTTGATAAAACATTTATGTGGCCAAACACAGAAAGACACAAACATCCTAGCAATGTCCTAAGAGGGCTTGTATACTGCTTCTGAGATATGTTTTTCAGACAAGTCACATGAGGATTGAAGTTTCCTACCTTTAGAGATGCCACCAGTAGAAGGCGTGTTCAAGTTTCCATAGTATTTCTGCGGATTAGCAATGTATGTTGTGCCATCAGGGAAAGATTGTCCTTAAAAACATATAAACATTTATTGCCACTTGTATACTAATAACATAGACTGAACTGTAAAAGGTAGGATTATTTTGCTACTTTACAACTTACTGCTGTATACAGTACATGTCGCTACAGCCGATGGTCCAACTTGTCCTACATTACTTAGAGCAGAAGTACTCAATCTGCACTCTGACCCGGTGTTACAAAATGCAAACGACGCGCAACTTCCGCCCTCCATATCCACACAAGACTTTGCACACTGGTTCACACTTATTCCAGTAATAATACGATCGTTGATCATTTTAATGTTCACGTTAATCTTGCTCTGTTTGAAGTCGTCGATGTATTTCCCTACGGAGAATAACGAAATTTTGTACACACTGTGATTTCTAAACTTCACCCGAAAAACGTAAATATCAACAGCTACTTACTTGACCAGTGGTTACACATCGGATTTAGTTTGATCTGAGACTTAGGGACATCATAAACATGCGATTTCCCTAGAAAGCAAGTTCCTATATCTGGACAAAAATCAAATGATTTGCATTGGAATCCCTGGTAGTCTACACAAAATTTAGCACACTGGTTTGTGTCGAAGATCTGTTGGTAAACAGCATTGGACGATGAAAGAACGGTTGTTCCTGGAGTCTCAATAAACTTGTTAGAATAATCACCTGGAAATATAAAAAAAAGATATTAATTTATTATTTATCAAAGATTGGCTGGCTTACCAGGCACCAGCTCATTTAGCCAAAAAGCTATCTTATGTTGAATTTATTTAGATTATTACTTACGAATAAACAAGTCGACTCCAACATTGGTCGTTATCAATGAAGGATTTTCGTCAGGGTGAAGCGTGGACAACAAACAGTAACTTGTTGCGTACTGATATTCAAATGAGTTACAGACATAATTTAATGCCGTCATGCACGCCTGCGCACAGTCGTCTACCGAGATCCCAGACAGAATGTCGATGTCAAAGTTCTTCACGAATTTGTTTGTCATCAGTTTAAAGTTACTCATAACATTTGCTGAAAAAGAAAACAATTATGGTTCCTGCAAGTGCCTTCAAAAATGAAGTTTTTTCTTATTTTTTTTAATTCTGTTTTTTATTGGTTATGTTGTGAGTTTGGGATAACGTTAATGTGCTTATCACGTGACACTGATACTCACTCGAGACTGCAGCTTGTGCTGGATTGTCCAGAATGTTATTGCTGATGGTCTCAGCGGTATACGTCTGAACCTAATATACAGTAGTCAAGCATTAAACAGACGTGTACATCCTTTGGCAATAAGATTTTTTGGTGAACCACTTTTCAAGAATAAGAAAAATATTAACTTACGCTTTTATCAAATTGCACTTGTATTTTGAAATTTTTCTTCACAACTGCATTCCTAAGATTGTTCCAAGCCGTACTAAGAGGGACTTCGGCAAAACTCGGCGTACCGAGTGTTCCTGTTGGGAAATAGAAGAACAACTCCCTGACTTATATTGTGACAAGCTTATTTTCAATATTTTCTTCGTGAAAACTTTCAAAATGAATTTGAAGGAGGAGAACAAGCATTCTCTCAATCTTCATTGGAAAATAAAATTGATGCTCACGTAATAAAAATAGTTTAAATATTTTCATAAGCTGTTAAGTAATAGCGAGCGCAGCGAGCTCAATAGACTAACTAAAGAACAGAGGAAATTCGGAATGGAATCTGAACATACGTCAGGCAAATTTTTCTGTGAAACATTTCCAGAATTCCTTTATTACCCAATGTCCTTTGCGCGAATAAATAAAAAAAATAAATAATAACGTAAAGCTTTATAGGCTTTCAGTTTGTAAAAATCTTTAAAAGAAACTAAAAATAACTCTGCAATGTTTTTCGACCAAAATTGCATTAGGTCTATAGGTCTATTGTTTCAAACAGACGCTCGGCTGTCTCCGTAAGCTCCGACGAGCTCCGTGACGTCGTGTGACGTCACAGCTAGTAGAGATGTCTCGTGCGGCTTGATGTTTGAAGTGGCTGATCATTTTTTTCAAGTGTTTTTGATGGTACAACTCTGCTCGCCCCTACAGTCACACCGTAAAACATATTAGGGGAATATTTAGGCTTTAATTACTTACATGCACACGGGAGACTTTGTACATAAAACTTACTGTCATAGAGATCACACATCTGAGTGGAGTCCGTGACGGTGCCGTCAGCCGTGTGGATTTTACTTAGTGTGCAGGTCAGTGACGACGGACAGTACTCAAAACTGTTACAGGTCCAGTTCCCAAACGTCTGACAAGTGTCTGCGCAATCGGAAGCGGAAGTGATTCCTCCAATAACGGCGTCATTGTGGAACTGAACGACCTTCCCAGGAATCTTCTGATATCTCACTGCAATCATGTGTCATTTTTATTTTTATTTTGCAGTTTTAATCAAGTTCATCAGGAAATTGTTTCCTTATCTTCATCTTTGATTTTTCTTCAATATATGTACAAATAGAATTTTAAAGCTTTTTACACGTAGAATAGGAAACTAAATATATATTCAAGATAGAGAAGTTCAATTACTTATTGTGGGGGCCTTGTCCAGTAGGGTCGCCACGAAATACGCCTGTGACGACTGCATGTACATTGTGGGGTTAGAGACTCGTAAAGGGGTAACCCCTGCAGTGTTAGCCACGGCTGATATTGTTTGGAATAAAAAGATTTGCTTGTAAGAAATCACGTTCGCATCAAACGTTCCTGTAACATAAATAAAAAGAAAATGGGTTATTGCAAATCAATTCATTCTATTTTTTTTTTATTTTGCAAATTGGATGAAATTTCAAAACTGATATATATATATACCATAATATGTCAGTTTGAATGTAATCTTTTGATCAGCTGCAAAACAAGTGCTGACGTCAAAGTTCGTGATTTCTGGATCTTCGGGGTCAAAGTTGAAAATGTTGTAGGTCAAGGTAATAGATTCCTTATTGTAAAGTAATATTTAAAGAATCAATAATTATTTCTATAATATTAAACCTGTCTAAAAAGATTTCAATGAACACTATTACAACAATTGGAAATATATAGATTTAGACCAATTTTCAACCAACGGAGTTAACCTTCAGAAAAGAAAAAACAACATTTAGATAGAAAACCAAATATCAAGGACTTGTTGAATATGTACATGTACTTTCAAATTTACATCCGAAGTTCATTCATTCTTTTGTATCAAGAATTAATGTAAAAAAAACGGTAGATATATTTACTCAATAAAAACACAAACAGACCAAAAGTAAAAAAAAAAAAAAAAAGGAGAAATATCTAACCCCTGGTATGAAGACATTCAGTTGGATTGGGACATCTTTTGAGGTTTGTGTGAGGGCTCCGGCGTTATTTTGTTCTTTCTGGTCATTCTAGAACAGTGAAAACGAAGCAGAATATTACAGGAATAAATTCTTATGTTGGTGATGTTGTAAATGATTATAATAACATACAAAAAAAATAGAGAGAGAGTAAGTTCTTTTAAATGAGATTAAATATGGGGAGGACAAAATTTCAATTTCATTTAATTAAATTCTTTAAATAATTAAATGCATATCTGAACACCATACGCATCTAAATCCCGAACGTTAAAATGGTAAGGTTAACTTTTCCTTAAATGTGAATTTTAAATTGAAAACATTTAGAATATTTGTTCTAGGTATTCATATTCTCAAATTAATATCAATTGCATGGTATATTAAATTAAAGAAGGGTTAATTTTACAAATTAATAAACATGAAAAAGTCATAAAATAAAATACATCCGCAATTAATTACAATACAAACTTCTGTGGATTTTGTTACAATGCTACAGACTTACAGCTAGGAAGTAAAATTCCAAAATCGCATGCATTTTGAAGGGTCCCAAAGGATAATCATCGCGGGTACGAATAAACACGTCACAATTCAGACCACGGGCTCTACGCTGAAAATACCCAAAAAAAAGTACTGATAAAAATTCACTGAAATAAGGTATTGACAAAATGTTATAGACTTTTTTGACAATTTTTCACCTACAAAGATTCTGGATATCGTTTTGATTTAAAATTTTCATTCTAATGCTTTCTTCCGTCATGAAATTGCTAACTACTCACTCTGCCAGTATACGTGTAGTTATTGTCGAGGTAAAACAGGTCATTGGGACTCTTCATCTTGAGAATAAACTGCTGTTTGTTTACTCCAGTTGATACATTAGTGATGGAGGCGTCAAACGAGGTGTTCTGTAGAGGGATGATCGAACAGTTTTGCATTACCTTGTCTATAGCGTAAGCCACACCTAGAAAGGGAAAATTATTTTGTCAAACAAAACGATCATGTATAGATGCATATACACGTAGATTTCTTCACCACAAGCAACACATTAAGGTAGATTTTCTTTTATTTCTGTAAAAGCTAATCCGCCAAACTCACTTCTGGCTTTCTATACCTATAGCTTCATACTTGCCCTATAGGTGTGTATTTTACCTATGCTGTAGTCGTGTATCTCGGTAATTGTGTCGTTACTGTAGTATGGAGGGGACCCAGAAGCTGGTCGGTAATCTAATCTCATTAGTTTGTAGGTGGAGTCAAACCATACCTGTATTTACATATATTTTTTAATGAACGAATTTTTTATGACGATTGTAAGGATCATTTAATAGTTTTTGATTTTCAGAAAACGTGTATCGGTTTATCATCAAATCATTTTTGGTACTCAGTTGAAAGGTACACTGTTTGGCTGAAGCCCAGTGTTCCAAATTTTATTATTAATTAAATTTTTAAAATCCTTGGAAAAACCTGATATTTCAATTTCCAGAAATAAAATTTTTAATCATTTAAAAAACGAAATTCTGACTCACATCTGAATTACTTGTGGTTCCTGAAGATGAGATTATTTCCTCTCTGTACGAAAAGGCGGACTTCAGAGATGGAACGCTTCTCAGCTGAGTCCGGTTAGTGCATGTAACGAAATGGGGGGTCTGAAAATATATTGATAAACCTTTACATTATTTTTCCTTCTTTAGGTGCACTAAGCATCCAGTTTGACTTGTTTATAAAATATCGAAGGATTTTCTCTTTTTTTGGATACACAATCTGTTATAACATCATACAATGTACAAAAGTTTAACATTTTTTATCGAACAGGCTGTGAAATTGGGGAGAGGAAAAGAAATGGCATTTTATCACTTATTTAACATCCATCGTGAACATGATGAATAAGATTCCAACTTTAAACAAGTTTCAATAAAACAATTGATTCCATTCATTTCAGTTGGTTATAATCCTATTATATACATTTAATTTTCATAGAATATTAAAAGAAGATAATTTTAGGTGACGGGGTAAAGGAATTTTATCAGATCTTCCTAGTTTTACCTCAAACACTGTTGTTCTGGGGTCCAGTGTTGTGGTGAAGTCTGTGTAGTCGTAGATATGGTGGAACTGCCGAGGATTCCCGCCGGACTGTTGTTGTATCCCGAATATCTCAGCTCGGACAGGAACCTGAGAGTACCCAGAGGACGTTATCCAATTCTGATCTGGTTATCAAATAAAAAGGTTTTATAACACATCTTACAATGTAGCTATAGCCAAGTAGTAATCAGTAACCCTGTATCAAAATAAACTTTTAATTAATATTTCAACAACAACAAATAAGATATTTATTTTGCCTTGAAATTTTATTTAAAGATCTAAACATGTAAAAGAAAAGTGTTGGATCACACTTTGCACAAGATATCTTATGAATAATTTTAAATGTGTCCCGGATCTGATTCTTTTACCTATGTTTTGTACACATGTGTTAAAATCAAAATGTAATTTCACCTTAAATATTTCGATGTAAAAATACTTAATGAACATTTTAATTTGCATAATTTATGTAGATAATAAACTCCACAACAATTTTTCATGATTTCTGAATTGAGAAACATTGTCTCCATGTAGATTGATGTCACTGTATATAGCTAAATTTGCTGCATGTATTTTTTTTTATTATATTGTAAATGAAGGAAGAGCCAACTGAAAATGTGTTTTGTAAATTAGTGTTGGGGAACCATAAGAATATCAATTAAAAGCTATGGTAATCTTTTTATCGTTTTATCCAAATCTAAACTTAGCAAACCAAGAACTTGGGCTGTAGATGTTAACAGAGGTGAGCTAACCTGTTAGTCCAGAGTAAATATAGACTTAGAATAAATGTTTGGGTTGTGGATATTTCTAACCTGTAAAGTAGTAGTCCAGAGTAAATGTGGACTGCAGTGGTTGCCAGGTCAGACACGTTCTCCACTGGTCGCAGTTTATTCCTCGAATCACCTTTTTACCCATGTATGTCTGCAGGTAAATAAATTTTATATTTATATCCAAAATTATCATGATTTGATTATTTGGTGTATAAAAAAAACTAAACTATAGTGTTCTCTTGCAGCAATTCAAAACATCTTGAATGGTAAATTATTGAAAAGACAAACAAGTTCCATCCCAACATTATAAACATTATTAAGAAGATTAATGCTGTCAAAATAAAAAATGTGTACTCTTTCCATGGTCAAGAGTCCATTTTTCTAACTAATAAAATATTTTCAGATAGAAATTGAAGAATCGATGCCTAATCAACCAACTAAGTATACTTGTTCTTTTTTCAGAAATTTTTAAGACAGAGCTCTGAATTGTACCAACCTGTCCATATTTTTGTGAGAAATGAATGGCGCCATTTGTGGAGAACACGTGAAGTCCCCCTTCGATTTTAACGTTTCCAAACAACAGGTTGTTGTCGTCCGTCGTTAGATTGGTGGTTCTACATGTACCATTAGCTACAATTAACGGTCTAAGTTTTATTTTTAATTTTCATTTAATATTCATTTTCAATTTAAATTCTAAAACTTTTTTTCAGAGAAACTTTTATCAGCTTTGATTTCATGTTCAGGAACAGAGTTTACCATTTATTAATCTGTTATGTGCGACAGGATGACAAAATCATGAATTATTTAACCTTGTTCGACTACAAGTAAATGTGCATTGTAATTGACCATCTTCATTCTGACTTACGGTAGACGTAAAATAGTTCCTCGGTGTTGTAATCAAAGATAAGCTTGTTGATCTGATCACCCCTTAACATAAAGAGAGCGGCTCGGTTGTTGTATTCGTCGAAGTATTCTTCCGCAGAGACCGTCTCGTTGCGATCCACAATAATGGCCTCTAGTTTAGTGGAAAACGTGTTTGGTACAACGGGAAACGGGGGTTCTATATTTAAAAATAAAAAGAAACTTATTGTTTATTTAGCTCACTATACTTTTAACTAGAATAAAACATCCCAGTTGAATAATTTGGGGATAAGAAGTAGAAAGGATCTAGTTAAATTGATATTTTGATCAAACAAGAAGTAAATCATAATCTCTTTTAAGATTCATATTTCATCAGTTCTTTTCAATGACAGATGTTCTTCAATTGACTTACCTGAAGCCACGGTGGGGTGAATACCTGGCTGGGGAGTACAGGTGTAAGAAGGTGTTTGACTGTGGCTCCCGCTGACAAGCAAAAGTAGAACCACTACATATAAAACAGAAGTCCCACTCTGCAGAAACAAAAGAAAATGACATATATAAATCAGAATTGCACTCTTTTATAATTATTTTAGCTTCAAGGCAATGGTAAGCATATTTGATATGTTTTGAATTTATGCAGTCATATAGTCATATAGACATGTGCCACTTTATATTATTCTGGATTATAACAGTGTATAAGAAATGCTCATTTATCGGTATTACACGTATCTACATATACAGTATTTGTAGTAAAAGAGATTTGATTGTAACATCATTTATTCAGTTAAGGACATATGATACAAACAAAAAAAATGGATGTCATAGATTGGTATATGTTTTTTGACTTATTTTGATTGTAGGTGATGAGAGAGAATAATAATTTTTTTAAGTATTAAGACATTGTAAAATGTCTATGATTTTCAAATTTCAACCTTTTTTGTAACAATCCTCATTAATCTATACAAATTTTCGCCACATTTAACCCCATTATTGTGAAGTTTTGAATAAAAAAATGAAAATCTATGCCGTTAAAGTTATTCCTTTTACTCCTTTGAACTTGACATATGTTGTTATTTTCAGGATTTTTGACAAAAGTTTGTTTGTACCATCTATCCTTAAATTAAATGTACATATACATTTACAAATACCCCTGAACTACATAGAACATGCAATATTAATGATAAGAGATTTCATGAACACTTAATAAGAAATCTGTTGTATGCTTTGATATATTTAACAAAATTCCACAGAGATAAGCTGAAAATAAAGGTTATTAAGTAAGTCTATATACATTTATCATAAGCGTAGGCAAACATTTTATCAACAATATGCATTATTTTAAATTAATTCATTGCATGTTTACAAAACCTGAAACAAGGCAAGATAATGACAACTGAGATGTAAAAACGAGGATATCAACAGTGTATCTTAAAACCAACATAAAAACAATCTTACATTAACAATATATCATTAAATCGAATGTTGACTGACGATTGCCATACAAATTGTTAGGCATCACTTTTACTCTGATCTAATTGTCTACTCGATTTTGACAAGGACTACGGAAATTTTTGACGGTCAAAAGGAGACGCCTTCTTCTCCATGGCACCTGATCCCACATCTTTGATTTTAGAGGGCCTTGTTTGCTCTGCTCCTGATTTGTATTGTTTCTATGGATTTTTAGGCAATATTAATGTTCATTATCTTCATATATCATGGAAAGGATTGAAAACAATATCTATTAACATACTGGTTCCTCTTAATGTAAAACATACCATGCAAAACAAAATAAGTAATTGAAATAGTAACTTAATATAAATTGTAAAAGACATACATGTAATACTAAAGAATTTTTATTATTTACAATAGCAGTATAAAAGCAACAGGTTCATTTAAAAAAATCAATGGGCAACAACATATATTATTCATTAATAACATTTGTTACAATTTCATCAAACATAAATAGACAGTAACTGTTCTAGCATTAAAAAGATGTAAACAATGAAATATGAAGATAAAAACAGTAATCATTCTCAGAAGTCCATTTTAACAATACAAATTTTGAGCACAGCGAACATGAACCTCTGAAAGAAAGAGGTGAGGTCAGATGCCACTGAGGTGTAATATCCCACAACCCCCGTGTGCTTATTGTCATGATTAAGAAAAACATAATGTTATTATATAAACTTTATAATAACGTAAAGTCTTTTTATTAAAATTAGTTATGTGTTCTTTTAATGCTATGTAAATGTACTAGGCCTATACTTCAATAGAACAAATAATTGTAATAATAAGAAGTTGCTGATATGTCCCTAGATGTCAAACATCATTTAGAAAAGAAAACAAATATTGATCATATTTTAGACTAAAAACAAAATAACCAATGACATTTGTATGTAACATCTAAAAAATTACAGAAAATATATATCATACGCCTCTCTTTCATAGTATTAATTGATTTTTATGTGATTACCTATTTCAAATCAAATTTAATGCTACGTAGTGTGATAAATAAAGAATGAGGCGCGGTTACTTACCATTATGTCTGTCTCTGGGGAGGTATATACAGAGGGACGGTTAATGTCGGGGTGTCTGAACTCTGAACTCCTCGTTCTTCATACAAGGTTTTGTAAGGTATCGATAGATAACACAGATAAATGTTTCAGATGTCAGTATATGAGTAGATTGTACCGGTTTTATACGTATACAGGTGTCATTACTGTAACGCACTCTTATATCACTTATGTAAATAAACAAAAGTTTTAAAAATCATTTTATTTTTCTCTCTAATTAAATAATTAAAACATTTTTAAAGTAATACATCAATGTTACAGAAAATCAAAATATTTTTTCAAAGACAAAATCTTAATGCAGCTTGATCGCGATATCTCGGTTTATTTCTTGTATTGTGCCCTGATTACTATCGGGTCTTGCTGATAAACCTCGTTTGATGGGGGAGCAGAGTTCACTATCTCCGTCCTCCATGTTATAACACACTATACCCCAAGACACAAAACAAGGTAAGTTTTATTATTAAGGATATATACCACACCCATACTGCACAAATCATACCCAACTCCACCCTTCAGTATTTAGCATGAACCTTATCTGGTAAAAAAAACTGTTTCTTTGAACAAAACTATGAAACATGCACTGCATATATCTCGTAAACTGTATGAATTATTTAAGTATGAAGATAAACTGTATGAATTATTTAAGTCATCAAAAAAATGAAACAAGAAAACTAATCACAAGCTATTTACAAAAGGCTTTGAGAAAAGGTACACTTTTTAACCAGTGAAACTATAATAAATCGAGGCAGCAAAACGATTATCGTTACGAGATTTAAAATATCTGTCTCTAATCAGGCATTGTTTGTTTTTCCTTGATCTGTTCGGATCTTCATTTATGATCAATTGATTAAATGGTAAACCTATTTCAACATAAAATATGTGTTTGTACAAAACATAATCAAAAGGGGGTTATAATGGAAACGATATTTATTTAGTCTTTTGTACATAAACATAATAATTTCCTTCAAATGTACGTATAGTATGTCCAAAACTATCCAAAATTGTTGTGATTGCTTTTGGGATCACAGCTAATTCCATCCTTCAATTTCATCTATAAATTTTTAAGCAAACATTGTACGACGGACTACTGTGTTTTTTGTTTACTATGCATTGACAACTTGATGTTCATATAGCAACAGGGATAAGTACTAAAAACTTCTTAATGTATTTACTTCGAGATGCAACCACATTTATTTATTGAGTTATACAATTGAATAAACAATTTTTTTTAAGACACACTTTTCCTTCAACGTGAAGTCTATTCGTTCGTTTGATTACCGAAAAAGTTAAGTTTATGTTTCGAAGAGTGGAAATCTTACATTAGTTACTGGTTATTATTCAGGTCTTTCTTTTTCCATCATCGTAGGCCATGATTTTCACGTCTTTTTTTCATTTTCCCGATCATATTTGCATATTTTTTTTTTTACAGATGAAGCTCCTATATCTGGTTTTCCCGCTGTTTCTTGTCACGTGTGTGACGTCAGATGACCCAAGCCTCTACACGTGTCACCCTGGAGTCCGTGCCCCCGGTGTAACGCCTGCTGCAAATCGTAACATACTTGATTGGTTTAATGATTAATTGGATAACTACTAGTATTGACAATAACTGATTAATTGATTAAAAATTGATTATTTCCTTAAGCTTTGCTTAACGTTTTGTTACATTTCACAATCCTATTTCATCACATGAAAAGGTATTGCAAGATTTATCTTAGGATTGTCCTTCCTTTAAATAGTAGATTATATTAATGTCTAGCAACTTAACAGTTAAATCATAAGCTACCAAAATTCACAATCATTAATATTATTTTAAGTTTAATAAAACCATAGATAACTATTTTGATACAGCAAATGCTCCATTTAAGGCAGTAAAATAAATTAACATTAATAAACAAATAAAAAATATTCCTTTATTCGTGACAAATAGTATAAAAATATCAAACAGTGATCGATCTAAAAATCCGTAAATAATAAAAATCTGTAAATATGGTGATATCTGGTCAATATGGTGATAATCTGTGATATTACAACATCAATCAGGAAATTTCACGATGAAAAAAGCTGTTATTGTCTCGGTTTTCAAACCATATTATTCTATCTTCCAGCAAATAAACGCAACTTAAAGTTTGTTTTACTCATATTTTCTATTCAGCCCCATCGATGCCATCATTAGCTGGAATCAATGCCTTTACCACAAAGATAGAAGCCGTCATAGGCGAGACCAACATGACTGTGTCGGCGGAGGAATACTTCGACTACGGAAACAACCGAGCTGCACTCTTTATGTTAATGTCTGGCTTGCTCTACAAACTTGTTTATGACTACAACACCAACGAGCTCTTCTACGTCAATCGTGAGACCTTTGAAAAACTTAAAGATAATGGCTAACTTTAATTTTTGCAGTATTTCAAAAAAAAAATTTTATCCTTGAAACATATTGGCTTTTTTTTCTTCAATCTGTTTAAATAGTTTATATTTATGTTTATTTTTTCGTAGCGGACCTTTCATGTTATACTCACAACCTTACAACAGACACTAATAACGTGTTCTTCGGAAATATCAAGTTGTCCAACCATCTCCATGTCTTTAACACTATGGATGCTCTGCAATTCGCTGCCACTCAAGGACAGGTACCACATGTAACAATCCTTATTCGATTGATGTTCCGCTCGTTTACCATGTTGATTTATCAACCATTTTTGAAATCAGATTATTTCTTTCAATGGGCTTAGGATAACCTATTAGTTGTATATTTGCAGACATACATGGGTCAGAAAACAGTCCGTGGAATTTTGTGTGACTACTGGAGAACTTGCCTAACCTGGCCTCAGGTCAACTCCACTTTCACACTGGACTATTACTTTACGAGTAAGATCGCAAAACAATCCATGGTTAAACCTAAAGTATTACAGGGTTGATAAGGGAAGATTATAAGGAGTTACTAATATTCTGGTTTCCATTTTTAGCTCACCTGAACCGAAGGCTCAAGTGAGCTTTTCTGATCACATTTTGTCCGGCGTCCGTCTGTCTGTCTGTCCGTCTGTCTGTCTGTCTGTAAACTTTTCACATTTTCGACTTCTTCTCAAGAACCACTGGGCCAATTTCAACCAAACTTGCCACAAAGCATCCTTGGGTAAAGGGGATTCAAGTTTGTTCAAATGAAGGGCCACGCCCTCATTCAAGGGGAGATAATTGGGAATTAATGAAAATTTGGTGGCATGTTTTAAAAATCTTCTTCTCAAGAACCACTGTGCCAGGAAAGATGAAACTTATGGGGAAACATCCTCAGGTAGTGTAGATTCAAGTTTGTTCAAATCATGACCCCGGGGGTAGGGCGGGGCCAAAATGGCCGACCAAAGTTTTACGTAGAAATATATAGGAAAGTTCTTTAAAAATCTTCTTCTCAAGAATGACAAAGCCATAATTCATCATATTTATATGGAAGCATCCTCAGGTAGTGTAGATTCAAGTTTGTTCAAATCATGACCCCCAAGGGTAGGGCGGGGCCAAAATGGCCGACCAAACTTTTACACAGAAATATATAGAAAAATTCTTTTAAAATTTTCTTCTCAAGAATGGCAAAGCAATGATTGGTCATGGGAGTGTTTTTGGATTTAAACTTTTCAATAATACTTCAGTAAACCAATTTCTACTTTTTCCTAGCCACAGTGCTCAGGTGAGTGATGTGGCCCATGGGCCTCTTGTTATTTTATGAGAATGAAGCTAGGGTAAACTTTGTATCCAAATTCCTGCCACTATGTTCTAGATTGACTATAGTGAAGCTTTTCAGGTAATATTTTCTCCTTTTTTTGTAGGGTTGGGGGTGGATGGGGTTGAGACGCAAATTACAATCCAATTTAATTATAAGGGTTAAAAAAATACGATATATTCATTTAAAAATCCAAAACTCATTATTATAATTTATTATTTTAAAAAATGGTGTAATTCCTCATTTACAATATACATGTATACACTGATTCCAGTGCGCTCTACATAAAAATCACCACATAGGCTAAAATATACTTCACTTTATGAATTCATCATCTGATCCCCTCATATATTTCCAGTACTCCGTGTTTTATATGCTTTTCTCAACTAGTAATGAAACACTGGATTTTTAAGCATGATTCACACAAAATAATCAAAAAACAGAATACAATGTTTGTACCGACCGCATCTCTTAGATTGCCAAAGTAATCAGCCAACAAAATATGATCTGATACATCTTTAATGAGGAAAATGTTTCATAAAATGCTTGAATTACAATACAGCTCCAAATTGGGTAACCCCTGCCGGAATTCCTCAAGTTCCGGTCCGGGCTGAAGTCTTCGGCATCAGGCAGATGGCCGGCGGACAACATAAATTCCATCATGTCTATGACTACACGGAATTTCGTGCAACACCACCGGATGATACAACTGTTTTTGAAGTAATATGCTTAAGTTTTTCTCAATACTGTGTTATAAAATTTAATTCAATATTTCCGAAATGGAAACTTTTTATATAATATGTACAAGGAAAACACTTATATTAAATGAAAGATGAAAATCTCTTATTCCAGACGCCAGCTATGGTGGTTTGTGCTAACCGCACACAGGTGCGCCCTCCCCCACAACTCACTCAGGCCTTTGTTTACCGAGAGGAGATTGTTCCCAAATCAGGTGTATCAACTACCGCTGACGTAAGTTATTTGGCGCCAAAATTTCAAATATAGTACGTCTTACATTCTTTGTAAAGTTGCAGTCATTTAGCAATGTCCCTAAACAAATTCTGTACATAACAAAATTGTCTTTTCCTTGTTTTTGAATATTCTCAGGTGTGGTATGATAATAATTTAAAGCTTGTAAGATATGATTTTCGACCATCTTCCCCAGTAGCTCCTTACTACAATACCGATGCCGTCACGGAAATCCATGATTTTAATACAGGTAGGCATTATATAGTGTAAGAAAAAATATAGCCATCCATTTCATCTCTTACACAATTGATGTTCTCATTAGAACTTAATTACAAAAGAAACAATTTTTATTTAGGTGTGGCTTACGTCATCGACCGTATCATGGCTAACTGTTC